TTKRMYTTKGGKTTTTTTTKGGGGGGGTGGGGCGGGGAAGGATATGATCCATCAGCTTTCATTCAACCACAGGAGGTTTTCTGTTTGTTCTGTTTCTGTTTTACTTCTGGGTTATCAACAGATTCCTTTAAGTGTGAGGGGAATGGAAAAGGTCAAAAATTGTTAATAGTCAATTAGTACTTCTTTTATTTCAAACATAAATAATATCTTCCTTTTGAACTACCTATACAAGAAGAAAGTGTTCCTAGATGTGGAAATCTTACGTTTCACTCAAATAAAATAAGAAGAGTGACAGCTGTGAGAATTTCCACAAAACCCCAAGTCCTGCAGCATGGGATGGCCTGTAGTATGTGGTCTTCTGTTCTCATTGTTCTGTTCGTCCTTTTCGTAGTACACAACTAACAGGAACAGCTCAAGAGACTAGTTGGGGTGACTGTACTGCCAGAAGTTCCCAAGTGTTCACTTTACTTGGAATTATGGCATTGAAATATGGTAGCTTGTGGACAACTTCCCTTTTTACTTTCAGCACTCTGCATTGCTTCAATTTTGCAACATCAAACCTAACCTCTACCATTTCTAGCACAGGATCCATTCTCCCGCATACATGGAGGGAACTTTTAAGGCACCTTGCTTCCACTGGACTCTCAGGAAAAATGAGTACGAATGAGGTCTGCTTGAGAGCACCAAGGGCGAGCTCTGCAGCTAGAAACATAGCTATCAGCAAATCCAGAAGAATCAACTTCCTTCACTGAGGACCTCATTTTAGTGATGGTGGCTTAGGACAGAATACAATGACACCCTTTCTTCACTATAACTGTTTTAACGAATGCCATCTTGGAGGAGGCAGGACTTGTGGGCGTGACTCCCAGAGAACAGCTGAGGGATTCCATGGTGATGTGACAGTTTTGTATCTTGACTGTGGTTGTGGGTACATAAATTTAAGTATGTGACAAAATTACACAGAACTAAACACACACACACACACACACACAGACACACACTCACAAAGTAAAGTGGAGAAACCTGAATAGGGTTGGTGGTTTATATCAGGGTCAACCCACTAGTTGTGATATCAAACCCCCACTGCAAAATGGGGGCAGGGAGCTAAATGAAGGGTACCTGAGACCTCTCTGCATTATTTATTACAACTGATTGTGAACCTACATTTCTCTTAAAATCAAAAGTTTAATGCAAGAATCAGGAAAGGTAACATACGCACACCATTCTGTCTTCATGGTAATTTTTGTTTTACCCAGACAATAATCTCTGAGACCCAAATCAATGTAAAGGTTTTCCTGAGGCTAAACCAGAGAAAATGTTTCCAAAATATAAATTACCATATGGATATTGATGTTACATACTGATAATTTAGCTGTTTTGCATGACTAGTAAGAGATTTCTTGGTGTTTCTTGATGTTAAAATTACTGTGGGTTACAGTAATTTTAATTGACTGTAAGAAGACAATTGACATTAAAATTTCCTGACACGTTTAATACATACAAAAATTTCCACTGAACACATACCTGACCGTGCTGTAAAAAAAGTACAAAATATGCAAATATAAGTATAAAATATATAAATCAAAAGTGTCATTCTATAATTTAAATATTTTCACTACAGGCAAAATCTTAAAAACTTTCAGAATACTTTTAAAACATTAGTGGTACATTTAAGGAGGAAATAAACATTTAAATCATATTTAAACAGTAAGATAGACATACTTATATATTTGGTTTAAGTTTTACCTTGACGGTAGGTATAGGCCTTTTGGGTATAAAACATTTTCTCTCAAGTGGTGAGAAAGCTGTGTTTTGCTCTTTCTGTCTAATCTTGTTCTCTGCTATGATTTTCTTGCGCTGCTCAAGAAAAGGTCCAAAGCTTGGCAGTTTCTAAAGGGAAACATGAAATTAAAAGCACGTTAGGCCATGTGTTGGTGTACACTTCTAATCCCAGCTCTTCAGGAGGCTGAAGCAGGAAGATTACAAGTCCAAGGGCAGTAAGACCCTGCTTAAAATAAAAATTTTTAAAAGGGCTGGGGATGTAGCTCAGTGGTGAAGTACTTAGCCTTAGGCTTAATTCTCAGTATTAAAAAAAAAAAACAAAACAAAGCAATATGGAAGATAAAAATGAGTGAATATAAACACATACACATATGAAGAAACAATTTTATACTTGGAGATGGTTTCATGTCTACTGTAACAAGGACTACTAGTCTTCTAGGTATTAGATTCATTAGTTATTAAAAGAACACAAAAGAACAATATCATTACCAATATTTATGTGTTAGATGCAAATGTTAATTAAAATGCATTTCTAAATGGAATAAAGTTCACAACGGCAAACCAAATCCATTCACTTAAAACAATAGCTATTAGTTAAATCATTTGTTTGGTTTGTATAGACAGAAGGCGAAACCTATTGATGGGTTTTTCCCGCTCATCAGGTTTTTCACACGATATAGACACAGTGTAGTTCCTGATAAATGTTTTTGTCAATAGCAAAGGTACCGTGCCAAAGTTCTAATCTGTATCTCTATTTTATTGTGTTCAAATTCTTACACATTTCTTTAAAGACTGTAACTAATGCCGATTGCAATTTACTGGAATAGCTGAAGAACAAAATGATAAAAATATTGACTTCTCTGTACAGAAAATAAATGTTATTTTGAGTAAAAGAAGTAAAAATAAAAATGAAAAGCAGAGGATATATCATGGTCCTTAAACAAACTCCATCAGTATTCAAAATCACATCACAGCTTTAAATCTCAAGGTTATTCAATTGTACTTTACAAAGTTCATTTAGAAAGATACCTGGGCGTCATGGAAAAATGCTAAGTGGTTTCAAGTTAACACGAAAATGCCCTCATACCATTCATTATCCCACAATTATCTCCTCTTCACTTTGTCCTTCCCCTCCTTTAGAACCTTTGATCTTCACTTTTACTGACACATACGGCTGGTGATAGACACCACTGAATTCCAAATGTTTCCTGTCAGGCTGTAACCTGGAAATGCTAGGTCTCTTTTAAAAGACTGCAAAAACACTCTTGTTCCTGCAGAATAAAGCCCATTTATCTAGCTGATGGAGGTTTGGAAAACTACAGCACTCCAAGGTCATCCTGATCTCTGACCTAGCAAGTACTTTGGTGAAAAAAAAAATCACACTTGTTTCAAAATGCTGGCCTCCACTTGCCAGGCTGAATACTGCCTCAGGAAAATGAGTTCTCCAGTCCTCTGGAGATCTCAGTAGAGTAGGTAAACTAAACTTAAACCATGTTCCAATCAAGGTAAACTGCAACTGTACTTTTGTATTAGCAAAGAACATATTTATGTGGAAACATCAAAGCTTGTTACTTCTATCATCAATTCACCCTAATTATGTCAACAAGTCATGAAAATGGAAACAATGTTCTGAATACCAAATTAATTTATATACAATTAGATTAGAAATGTGTACTTTGTCTCTATCCTTTAATAATGTTTTCCTAAATTATAATATTTTATGGATGCAGTAATATGAAATAATATGATGTAGAGGGAGAGTATTTTGTTTCTACTTTATCATAAAATAAGTGCTACTGACATGTTAAAAGCATAAAATAAATCCTCAATACTTATTCCATGTTAGTCACTTGAATATAGAAATGATAACACTTGTTTGAAATGTCTTCTTATGAAATTACTTTTCCCTGGGCAGTAGAGGTGTTAGGGATTGTGCCTTGTGCTGAAGAAATGTTTCCTTGTGTGTCTAGACAACATCTCATGTCCACATGATATAAGTCCTGCCAGAATGTCACTCTCTCCACCTTTCTCTTACACATTATAACCTTATTTTCTTGAAGATTATCAAGTCACATACATTATAACCTTATTTTCTTGAAGATTATCAAGAATAGTTAAGTGTTTAAACACATGACCTCTGGTTCTAGCAGATCCTCATGTTAATAAGTCCCCTTATGAACCATTATCTTGTTTTCCTGATAGGGCCATAGTTCACTTAACAACATCTAATTCCACCTGAATTTGCAAAAGCTGTTCCAGAGATCCATCTTCTTTACACATACATTAGGCTCATTATTTATCCAAATGGAGAGAAACAATATTCTTAAATATAAACCTTTATTTCAAATTATTATAAAAACAGTGATGATGATGATGACAAGTATTTGAAGATCCCTTGATGTTGAATGGAAAACAGCCAGGACAATCTCTAACATCTTAATATATTCTGCAATTATTTGCACTAGTTGACCATATTTGTCATATATAAATTATACTATGCAGTCTTGCATTGGCTAACAGTGCTATGATTCTAAGGTACTAACCTTTAATAATCAGTCCTAAGAAGAGGCTCCAAGTTTAATTCCTACTGGAATTTCTTTGAACATTAATTAGAAGAATCAAAGAAATAAAAGAATGCTGTGGCCCAATTTTTCTTTTAAGTTGAAAGCACACATACACAAAATATTGATTGCTTTCTCAACCTTCCACCATACATCTCCAAATCAAACTGGGTTCATGTTTAATTACTCACTGCCATGTGGAGATTCCAGAGGCTAAGGGCTATCTTCCAAAACATCAAGACTGCCATAGGCATTTTGCATGACTCATTAGTATGAAAAATTAAGCAGTTTAAAAAATTTGTGTGCAATGATGTAGTAGTAGGATTTAGGGGCACTAATTTTTTTTAAAGTTAAAATTTCCAAAAATGTAGAAAATCAATTCATTTCTCTAGCAAAGGATCACCTTTCTGCATGCTATATTTAGGCATGTTCTGATCTTGCCAAAACAAATGAACAAACAAACAAAACCCAAAGCCAAATAAAGCTAAGAAAGAGCAAGGATAAACGCATAGTTGGCCACTGTGTATGTGTGCAATCAGTGATGATTAATAAAGCATTTAGTTCAAATCTCTGCCTGAACATACAGTTAATTGATTTCCCATTGAAGGAGGAGAAGCAGCAGGGTCTGACAGAGGCAGCAGCAGGAGTTTTTCCTCTTCATTCATTATTTTCTTACAGAAAAAGTCGTAGCCTGCGGTAACTCAAAGCATGAGGTTTTGAGCGTCATGCTATATTTCTTAAACAAAGGAAAAAGTTCTTTAGGACTATCAAAAGCTGCTTTGTAACTGATGAACTGAACAAAGCTCAGAAATGGTGTGATTTTGTTTCAATAGTTTCTCCAGGGATTCATCATTGATGAATTTGTTCTCACCAGAAAAGCTAAATCCTACTCATTTAAAGATAACAGTATCTCACGCTAAAACTGTCTCCATCCAGATATAAAAAGCATTACATTGCCGATAGAAAAGTGACAACATAATGAATCAACAATGATACCTTAAGCCAGCAAAGCTTTAAGGTAAAGAAGTTTATTTGGATTATAATTTATTCATGGATCAATCTAAAGGTAATTGAGCATATTATGAAGTAGGAAAGGGTTCTTGTTTCTAATAGAAGCAGGCACTGGTATCATCCAGTTTAAATTGCATAATTTTTATGAGAATGGCAGCAAGTTGGCTAATAGCAGTAGTCTATAGTACTGTAATGGATCAGCTCTATTTCCTTAATCATGCTCTTATCTGATTCGAAACAATAACAGCAAGAAAAGTACTTACTTTGATATCTAAGTGGTAATAGAAGATAAAAGGATTTCAGGATATATATATATATGTAATATGTAAATATATTATATTTGAACATTTATATATGTATGTATATATAAATATATATATATATATATATATATATATATATATATAGATATAGAGAGAGAGAGAGAGAGAGAGAGAGAGAGAGAGATTATAAACCTGAACAGTCCATCAACCTATCTTCTTTATATGCATGTTTTTGAACATATATACACTGATAGAATGAAGGTTAAGATAGACACAAAGAATATATTTTGCAATATTTAAAAATTGGTCTTTTTTTCAAAAGATATGGTTACACTATTATTTATCAGTCTTTTGAAATTTTTTTCAACAAATACAATATCAAATGACTCTTCTGGCCAGGAATTGTTTTGTGCTACATTAAATAAAAGCTAAATAATTTCCATATGGTATGTGTAAGTTATCATTGTGATTAATTTTATAAATTTCTCTTGCTATTCAGCAAGGGCAAGTGTCAAATTGAATTATATATCAAGTATACCCAGTTATTGTACTTATCTCAAAGCATGATATAGTAAGCTTTTTGGAAAACTGCTTGAACTCAAATTAGTATCCAACAATTGGACAGAAAAGCTAAGAAAATAAATCTTCAAAGAGCTAATCTTAAAAAAAACTCAATAAAGTGATTCGAGTCACTTTTGGATATATAAAATTTAAAAAATGTGGGGGCAGTATGGTACAATGGCTGGGATCACAGGTTCTGAATCTGTGTAAAATAGGGTTTAATGAAGTAATCTGCATAATGTTCTGTGTGCTGAGTGTGCCTCAGTGCCACATGGAAGGTGGGTACGAGAAGTCCCTTTTCTGTGTTTTCTGTATTCAGTTACTTCATCCCTCTGCCCATTCATAAAGGTAATCAGTTTCTTACATTTGACTCTGATTTTTACATCAAAATCAGATTTAGCATGGTTTAGATTCAGAAACTAAGATTTTTCTCATGTGTAAAAGGCAAATAGTGTTTAATCACTGATATAAGTAAGTAAACTTTCATGACACTGAGATATTTGGGCAAGGGAAAACAGTAAGGCACACGGAGAGAAGTATTGTCTATGTGTTATCATAGGGCTCTGTGGAACCCAACGGTGCAAATTGGAGTTGGACATGCAAAATATATGAAATATGACTATTAGTTTAAAAAGATACATTTAAGCATGCAACTTTTGATCAAAAAATATGATGTCTGAATCCGTCAAAGCAATTACAGTCCATGTTTCAT